GGGATACATAGATCATTCCTTGTTCCAAACCTACTCAGGCCCACACACACAACTCTTACTCTGATACACCAATAATGTCATCAGTGCTGCTTCCTGTTCTCTTCCAGAACTGGAAAAATTCACCAAATTTGCTTCCAATATTCAGCCTTTTTCACCTTCACCTGATTCATCTTTGATTCATCCCTTCCCTTCCTTGACTTCACTGTTTCCATTTCTGGGGATAGGCTACACACCAATAAGACCCACCACACCCACAATTGTCTTGACTGCACTTCCTCAAATTCTGCTTCCTGCAAGGACTCCATTCCATTCTCCCAGTTTCTCATATCCATCACATCTGTTCTGATGACGTCACCTTCCACCACAATGCGTCATCATGTCCTCCATTTTCCTCAACCAAGGACCCCCCTTCCCACCACCCCAGGTATCATCCTTATAAACATACATTGTGTCCCCTCCAAGGTTGATGCATGTTTCCTAAGGTATAGTGATCTCCTCACAGTACTCCAAGTGAGGTCTAGCCAGGGTTTTGTATAACATTTGCATTCCAGTCCTCTAGATATTAAGGCCAGCACTCCATTAGATTTCTTGATTATTTTGTGCACCTATTTGTGACATTTAAAGATCTATGCACCTGAACCCTCAAAGCTATTTGGATATCCATTGAATGAAGTTTAATATCATCCAGAAAGTGCCCAGGTCTATTCTTTTTTGGTCCAAAAGAGATAAGCTCATTACATTGAACACCATCTGCCATAGTTTTGCCCATTTACTTAGCCTATCAACATCCCTTTGTAATTTTATGCTATCACCTTCACTACCTGCCTAACTGCCTAACTGCTGCCTAATTTTGTATCATCAGTAATTTTGGTTATATGACTCTCTATGCCATTAGCAAGCCCTCCCCTCACTTGTGAGCTTTCTGCAGAGACCATTACTCCACGTCACTCAGAACCACTCCTCCATCACTCCTAACACTATTTCCTCACTACATCCCCCCTCTCTCTCCCATCCCCAGCATCCTCCCATGTAAGTGAGTAAATTGTAATACTTGCCTTTCTCCTCCTCTCTCCTCACTGTCCAAACACACCTTCCATGTGATGCAACCTTTTACTTATATTTCTTTTAACCCTGTCTACTGTATTCATTACTCATAATGCGACAAGTTCAAACATTGACTGGTTGACCACTTTGCAGAACATCTCCATTCTGTCTGTAACAAGACACTGACCTTCCAGTTGCTTACCATTTCAGTCAATCATCTAGCTCCCATACTAACAATTTCCATCCTGGGCCTCATGCTGTGTTCCAACAAAGCTCAGCACAAGCTGGAGGAACAGCAATTTAATTTTTACAGACATTCTGTCTTCTTTGTGTCTTGTTGGCTTTGATCTCAACAGAGCGGACCCATTTTTGCATTTTCACGCCAACACAGTAACACCTATTATACATCCCTATTCACACTTTATCACCATTATCATTCTCTTTGTCTTCGCTCTGGACACCTTCACCATCTGCTCCATTCGTTCTTCCTCCCCATCTGTCAACAGCCAACAGTAACAATGCCATTTTCCAGCACTTTTTAATTCCAAAAAAGACAAGACTCAAAATATTAATTCTATTTCTCTCTCCTCAGGTGCTGCCAGACTTGCTGAGTTTCTCCAGTAACCAGATTTCCGGTATTCACAGTACTTTACTTGGCATGTGACATGTAGTTGCTTCGGTTGACTATTGCACAGCAAAGAAAATATTTGTTTTGAAGAAGGGAATCTTGTGACTTCATTCTTTTAGGGCATAACTGAGATTTCAAATTTTAAAAATTTTATTGCAACCTCTGCTGAGATTGTAATAAAATATAGTATCAGAGACAGGTATTTTTAAGTTGCAATATTGTATACAGGCATCATGAATTTATAGCTAACATCTATTTCAGATTACTGTAAACTGAAGACATAACAGAATTTTTTCACTACTTAAAGAAAGCCAAAGGCAGCTGAGTTGTTTCATCATTAGGAAAGATACAGTGGTACAAACCAATGCGTAGAATGCTGATGAGCATATTCACCCATACTCAGAGACAACAAGGTGCAGAGCTGGATGAACACAGCAGGCCAAGCAGCATCATAGGAGCAGAAAGGATCCTATGATGCTTCACCCATACTATAGACATTTCAAATCTCTGCTAAATGCCTCACCTACGTATAATTCAAATTGTGACTAAAACAAACCCCTTATTTAATTTCCTGGGCCCATTTGATATTTACCTCTGCCAGCCTCCATTTTTAGATTTGATAAGGAAAGACAGGTTTTATTTTTATTCTACCTAATTTAAAACAGAAATAAACATCATGGCTTACCACTGTGATCGTCAATTGCTGTCAATTTAATGAGGCTGATTATTTTGCATATCATTTGCCATCATGACGTATTCAAAGAAAATATGTTAGTACAGTTTTAGAAACCTTTCACTTTCATTATGGAGTGAGGATTGCACCTTTCATTTTCCAAGATCTGAATCTCTCACGCTATCTCTGATAAATTTAATTTATTTTGGTTGCTTAGGTTCTTTTTTATTAATTTAAAGAATACTGTAGCACTAATTCGGCACTTTTCTCAACAGTAATAGGTTGTAAGTTTGTTTAGCTCACAATGCTATTTCCAAATAATACAATGTAATGGAAGAGTAAGATTGTTATGTATGATCTCAAACATTTTGACCTATCGTGAGGAGCTCACACTTTGGCCATTATGCACTGGAGGTTTCATCATCTGGATAAATGTGGGTCCCAAGCCCTTGTGAGCGAATGATGGGACCGCACAGAGAACTTTCCTAATAGTGGCTGCCACTGTGAATGCGTCCCGTTAAGGGCCCTCTCAAAGCCGCAAATCCAATCAGAAGGCTTTGCAACCTTGAACATAGAGTTGTTGAGATTGTGAGAAGAAGGAGAGGGCAGCTTAATGTTCATGCACTATCAAAGGACTGGAAAGAAGTTTTGTGCTGGAACCAGGGAGTTATGTCTTGATGATTGTACAAGTAGTAAACTCCTGAGATGATATCAGAGTCATAACAACACTTATTGCTGTAGGGTAGGTGCTGCTCCAAAGAACTTGGAGTCTCCTAGGAGGAAGCGCCATCTCTTCCTAGCCCTTAGTGGATTAATGGGCCACTTGATTTTGCATTGGGCAACTGTGCCATTGACCTTCCAACTTTTAGAAATATCCTGTAGCAGCAGGGAAATGTTGAGAATTCTTCCTGACCCTTCCAGCAATATTTTCCCAGTCCTCTAGCTTGCCAGCATGATATCAACAGATTGGAAAAATCATGGCCTTTGTCACATCCTGCAATCTAAACATAATTTGCTCCATTAGTGCATGGTGTTGAAATTAAAACTGGGGAGATTATAATCCTAGATTAATTAATAGGAGGTAGTTTCAAGGTAGTAACTGTGATTGACAATTTGGAAGGCTCATCTTTCATCAAATCACCTGAGAGCAAAGATGGTTAGCGCAGCACGCTCTCAGAGACCAGGGTCTGAATTTCCAATGCCCATGCCTGAACAGATTCTCAGAGACAACAGTTATTCCTCCACAAGATGGACTGATTGACAGTGGTAACACAACTGAAGGAATATCTTCAACAAGCAACCACTGAGCAGGCCATCTGACTTTTCAAGGTACAATCCCTGAGCTTACATTCATTAGGTAAGACCCTCCTGGAAAATTCTTGTTAGTGTAGTGTTCTGTTGTGCTTTCCATAACATGATCTCTAGAAAGATGTGGACTTTGAAAATCATGAAACCCTGGAAAGGGACAGCAAAATGGCAGAAAAGCATGTACAAGAGGTATGAGAGGACGAGGAATTGGAGGTGGGGGAGGCGATGCCGAACATACAGTTGGCCTTCCTGTATGATAAGATGGCCTCCCCTGCCACTCAGTTAGAAAAGAACCTCCCAGTTCTCCCTTATGGTCTCAAAAGCCTTCAGCATTACATTCATATTGGCATCAATGAAGCAAGGGTCTGATCTGAACAAGGCTTCTCCATTATCAGTAGTATTTTGCTTCTCTCTAGTGCAGTTGAAGATTTTGACACAAACCACACAGGACAATCCATCTCCATATCAATTATGAGGAGGTTTGTTTCTGACACTGACTCCAGTATTCCATGCCAAAAATTGAGCCCAGGTCTTAATTAAAAAACTTTGTTTAAAAAAAAGCATGCTAGGTTGAGTCCTTAAGGAGTAAATATGTTGCATCTCTTTTTTCTTTTTATAACCGAGGAATGATGGAAAATTGATTATTCTCTGTGAAAACTGTATGCCTTCAATTCTCCATATAGTTCTTCTAGAATATTTAATAGTTTAATGCTGAAGCTTACCTTGACAGAATGCTTTCAGACTGTATCCATAAAAAGTGGAGAATTATGTTGTGGCACTGATCATATTTCTATAGCCAGTATGAGGTGGAAGGCGTTTTCATTTCCAAGCCTGGGTTATTCTGTAGTTTAGTGAGATACTGAACACTTTCAAAGAATGCAAAGTACACCCGAGGGATTAACTGTTAATGCTGGACTCTACTATTAAAACAAACCCAAAAACTGTGACACTGGTACATTAAGATATGTTTATAGTCCAAATTAAAACGTGCAAGTTACACAATTTCCATTTTTACATTACAGTGATAGATGCAGTGTTATATTTGGGCCCACTTTGAGTTTCTAAACCTGCATTTTTCTCTCTGGACCTGAAAAATGTTTTCATGGACTCATCATAAAGTAATCTGAGGGGCAAATGTTGTGAATTTAAACTACCTGCAGGCATCAACTTTGCTTTAGCAATATTAGGAAGACTAAGTTGACTTACACATATCCTCCTTCAATCTGTCTTTTCTTTAATAAACTATTTTTCCAACCAACCTGTTCAGAGATTTTCTTACATACCTCTGGAGCAGATGGGGCGTGAACCCAAGCCTTCTGGTCAGGCGGTAGGGACACTAACATTGCACCATAAGAGCGCCTATATGCTAATAAGTACATGGCAATGCCTTAACCATTTGTGTACTGTAAAGCCTCTAAGGCCCTTTCCATCCTTATCAAGGACAGTGCTAACTTTCTCTCCTCTCAATCTATCTAAAGGGAGGCCAAATCAACACTAGAGGAGAATCATTATGTCAATTCATAGTCTTTTTTTTAACTGTAAGAGAAGATTAAAACCTGAATTTTACTAATTGGGTGGATGCCTGACATTAGCAAGAAATAATTGATGCTGCCATACAAACAGACAGCCAGCAGGTGTGCCCTCCAAACTTTCAGTGGGGTGGTGGGATGACAGCAGGGTGGTGGGGCCAATTAAGAAGCTGCAAAAACTAGCCTATTTGGGACAGTAGCCCACCCTGAGAGAGGGTTAGCAATTCACCAGGAGTAATGGCCACAGCTGAAGCAGCCAGGTCCAGTAGTCTATAACAGGTAGGCAAGAAAGTGTTTTTCTTTATAAGTTTAGCGCTGGGTCCACCATCTGTTTTAGTTGCTTCTCTCCTCCCATCAATAACATATAAAAAAGAAATTCCAGTCCTTTTCAGTTCTGAAGCAGAGTGGACTCAAAAGTGTTAACTGTGTTTATCTCTCCACAGATGAGGCCAGACTCCTGAATTTCTCCAACGCTCTGTGTTTTTACTTCAGATTTCCTGCATTTGTAGTAATTTGCTTTTATCTGTTTCAGTGACGTTGTTTGACTCTTAAATGTTAACAGGACGCTATAATAACATCACAGTTGGAATCTTAAATAAGGGTTATAGTGAGATTTGCAGCTGAACTGGATGAGAAGTCCGGCAAGGCCTATCGCAACATCAGGAGCAACTCATTTCATCCGTTATGCTTTTGCCAAGTGACAATGTAAACTTCTCACTAGGCAGTAGTTAGTTGCCAATTAAGGAGACTGTAGCTCATTAAACATGTTATAAATACAACAACTCATCTGATTAATATTCAGCTTTCTTTCTTCCCAAATGCATTTGCAACTAGCATTGAAAGATTGCTGCAAGGACACCAATGGTTAGACGTCTGAGGTCTTGGAGGCTACAGGACAGGGAGTTTTGGCAGTGACCATCACTGCGGGCTCCTCAGGGGAGCGTAGAGGATTAGAGAGGACATCATTTGGGTGTAATGTTGCCACTCAGGGTGCAGGCAAGGTAGTTGGAAGTAGAGTTCAATGTTGTGGGTCTCCACATGGGGGAGATGAGCAGAAGTGGCCTGTTGAGATAAGACGAGGTAATAGTCATCCTTTGCATTCTGGATATACCTGCAATGAGGAGAAGCTGGTGCTGATGGTGTCCACTGTGAGCTGCATTCCCTGCTATCATTTACCGTTCTTTGGAGATGAAATTCAATTGGAAAAGGGCTGGGACAACATCCACAATAGGCAGAGTAAGTTTTATGTTGATGGACATAAGCTTGGGATCCATGTCTGCTCGACACTAGGATAGTTAAGTGGCAAATACACAAAGGAAATATTACAAACTACAGCCATATTTCATTTGCAAAGATTTCATTGCTCATTTGAAATGCATGCAGGGTGAAAGTACTTAGGGTTTAAATGCTGGTCAAAGATGATTTATCCTTGTAAGCTGAACGCTGACATCTCAATGATGCTGATGTTAGCAGCAATGAGTTAAATGGAGGGGAATGATGGCCAAAGACAATTTATTGCTTGTGCAATGAGTGCTGTGGAAGGCAAACACTGTCACATCATTGGCTGTCATGAGGGAAGGCATTGGCAGTAGTACTGTCACTGAGCTAATAATCCACAACATCTGCCTAATATCCTACAGGTGCTTAGTCAAATCACACCATGCCAATAGTGAAATTTGAATCCAGTTTTAAAAATTTGCAATTAAGGAAGTAAAATGTTGACATGTAACAACTGTCAATTGTTATAAAAATCTATTTGGTTCATTCATGCCCTTTAGGAAAGAATATCTGCCATCCTTAACTGGTCTGAACAAGATGTGACTCCAGACCCACAATATGGTTGACTCTTAACTGCCGTCTGGGGTTACCCAGCAATGCTCACATCACTTGCCTTTTTTTCTTAAAATGTAATTTTAATAATGGTTTGTACATGAATGTAAAGAAATGTTGAATGATTGATGTGGGTCCAGGGCTCTTGCCTGGTACTGCCCCTGCCTCTGAGGCAGGAGGCCTAGGTTCAGTCTACCGCTCCTGAGGTCTGTTAAAATATCTCTGAACAATTTGACTATAAAATATCTTGAAGTGGGCCTGGAGTGGACAGTGAGTTACAGCCAGCCCTTAATTTTTTATGTAATGTGTTGTTCACTCAACTGGTACAGAACCTTCACTAAGTTGGTGTGCATGCTGAGGCTGAAGCTGAATAAGTGATGGAGACATGCCTTTTGTAAATGGTGTCCAGTATGTCTTAGTGTATGGAGGAGTATGCACAGCCATCAACTGTAAGATGTGCCACCACTGACCTAAGAAATTCTTTCACTCCTTATGTTTCCATAACAGATCATTTCCAATGAGAACCATGACGCCAGCCACTGTGAGACATTGGTCAATGTGTCTGTCTCCCTGAAAAGGTAAGGGTGGTTGCAGGGGGCAGATGGCAAGCCTAAGAGCACTTGCCTGACATCCTTTCTCTCACTATGTTTCAAGATACGTCTAGAGAGAGAGCTTCGGTTGTTCTGCTGTCAACAGCTACTCCAGTTTTATGACAGTCTAGATGATTGCAAATTCATATTCTTTGTAATAACGATGGACATGGGGTTTACCACATGTCTGACAAGGATTGAATCAATATCAGAAAAAGTATCAATGTCCTTGGAGCAAATTTGACATTAGTAAGTATGAAATTTCTCTGTATTGTTCATGTACATCCTTTTGTAATCCACTTTGGAAACTTGCAGTGAATTAAGCTTGAAGTTGCAAAAACCTTTGATTGCAAAGTACATCCATATTGTTTACTTTTTAAAGAAGTATTCATGTTACACGAACCAATGAAATTAAGGATTAGCATTTGTCATAACACCTCTGTGTGCTTTACTGATGGATAAAACTAGTGTTAACAATCTTTTATTAAATAACCCCATAAAAATTAAAACATGATGGACATATTCCTGGCTGGAAAGGCAGCAGTTAATCGTGCATGAAGGTTTATACATTGGCCATTGTTTGGAATCTGCGGTACATAACTGCCAATCCAATATCTAAATCTTCACCTCTCTGCCTATAGACAGCCAAATCCCTTCTCCTTCTTCTTCCTAGACAGTCCCGCAGGAGTTAGACTGACTTGCGGAGTTGCAGGTCCTGAGGAGACTACATCATTCATCACCGGATACACAACCCTTGCAACTTGTGGAATAGGTGGTGTTTTCTGGAATAGGTGGGAATCTCAGGTCTTTGCACACTTCTTCCACTTTGTATGTTTATCCCCTCCATCTGTGCCTGAAGGATCAAGATGGTCAAAATGGATGATTCTTTGTTAGATGCTACTACTCCAAATTATGTGGTCTTGGATTAGTGCTTCCCATGAACTATGGAGTTATAGCATTTTATCAGGGAGTACTTAAAGAAGTTCTTGTGGCATTTCTTCTACCCTTTGCTAACCACTCACCATAATGAATCTCAGAGAAGAGAGCTTATTTCAGAAGTCTTGTTGATAATGTGAACCACCCTACTCAGCTGATTTACTATAACCAATGCCTTGATGTTAGCCTGAGAAAGGATACAGTTGTTTAGTCTATTTACAATTAGAGTGCTTATCCTGACAGTGGATTGGCAAGAGTTTACAGAGGCATCACTGGTGACACTTCTTAAGGAATTTGAAGTATCTGCTGGCCATATCCTCGCACATGTGCTGTCTAGAGTAACTGTGCCATTTCATAGAATCCCTACTGTGCAGAAGCAGGCCATTCAACCCATTGAGTCTACACCAACCCTCCAAAGAGCATCTCACCCAGACTCATCCCCTACACCATCCCTGCATTTCCCACCCTAGACACCAAGTGCAATTTGGCATGGCCAATCCACCTCGCCTGCACATCTTTGGACTGTGTGGCCACAGGGAGAATGTACAAACTCCACACAGTAAGGCGACCAAGGCTGGAGTCGAACCCAGGTCCCTGTGGCCGTGAGGCAATAGTGCTAACCACTGTGCCGTCCCATATACTTTTGCCCAAAACCCATGATAGAACTGTTTATTCGTTTATGTTCAAAGCTTTTTGTAGAAGAATGGCCAAAATATTCTGACAGCAACCAATGCAGTCAGATATTCTGATTTCCTCCTTGCAAAGCTTTACTTTGAGATTATTGACAAAAAAAAGTAAAACCATTTTAAGGTAATCACTTAAGTAGTCTAAAAATAGGCATGAGTAACAGGTTTTTCAGATAAAATTGTGAATTTATGAGGCATAGGGTTGAATTTTCCCCACACCTGAACAGCAATAGCGAGTCAGTCAGGAAAATGCAGTGAAATCAGAAAAATCAGATTCATAACATTAAGAAAAAAAGGCAGATTTTGCAATTAATTTTTGCATAGCAAGATATGAATCTCAGTAGTGGGTGGGGAGAGGTCAGTTTGCATTTATTTACATATTATGAGTACCAAATCTCACCTCATTGATATTCAGTTTCCACCGGATAGAAACTACACAGTGACAATTCCAGATGTGAATGTCAGAATGGGTAGTGATGGCTCAACTCGCTGCTTGCTTTTCTGGGGCTCTATTTTGGAGAGTAGCCTCAAAATCTTAGGTTACGCTTTATGGGCAGTAAATGCCTGTGTCCTCACATCAGCATGGCACATCTCCTAGTCTTGGAATGCAGTTTTCTACATCAATGTTACGCTTTGATGCACCCTGACATCCCCCATTGTAATTCTGCAGGCAGGCCACTCTGCAGGCAGGGACAAGTACTCACCTCATCGACTGGAACAGGGTGCAGTACAGGGCTCCTCACTGGCTCTCTCAATACTCACTTGTCATGGTTATCAGCATTAATCAGACAAGTGAGTAGACATATTGCTATATACATTGTTGTGTCAATGTCACACCTACACTATATACCAACAGATTACACACTGTAAGCACATTGCATAGGCTTCAGACCAATGGCCATA